TCACCATCACCATCACCATCACCATCACCATCACCATCACCCATCACCATCACCATCACCACCATCACCATCACCATCACCATCACCATCACCTCACCATCCATCACCATCACCATCACCATCACCATCACCATCACCATCACCATCACCATCACCATCACCATCACCATCAATATCACCATTACCATCACCATCACCATCACCATCACCATCACCATCACCATCACCATCACCATCACCATATCACCATCACCATCACCACACCATCACCATCTCCATCACCATCTCCATCACCATCACCACCATCACCATCACCATCACCATCACCATCACATCACCATCACCATCACCATCACCATCACCATCACCATCACCATCACCATCACCATCACCATCACCATCACCATCACCATCACCATCACCATCACCATCACCATCACCATCACCATCACCATCACCATCACCATCACCATCACCATCACCATCACCATCACCATCACCATCACCATCACCATCACCATCACCATCACCATCACCATCACCATCACCATCACCATCACCATCACCATCACCATCACCATCACCATCACCATCACCATCATCAGATCCGCAGTCGCTTGGCGCAGAGCACGCCAATGCCCGTGGGCTGACCGTGGCGTTGCTGCCCCCGCCGCGGGCGCGGGTGCCGTCGGGCCGCCGATGGGGCCGGAAGCCGCGCAGCAGGAGGATGGCGAGGGCACGAGGTGGGGTCGAGGATCGGGGATCGAGGCTTTCGCTGTTTGGGTGTCTTGGGAACCCCTGGAAGGCTTCCCGAGGACTTTTCGTGGCCACGACTGGATTCCCCTCGGGGTTCTCGTCGCCGCGCAGCCCGGTAGAGGTCTGAGGGTCGGTGGTGCTCGAAGATGACAAGGGGGGGGGGAAGAGAGATAGGGGCGTAGGTGTTGGAGGACGGCGGGGACAGGAGTGGAGAGGCCAGGGGGACGTGCCCCTCTTCCCCCTCCTGCTCCTCCTGCTCCTCCTTCTCCTCCTCCTCCTGCTCCTCCTCCTCCTCCGCCTCCTCCTCCTGCTCCTCCTCCTCCTACTCCTTCTATTCTTTGTCCTCCTCCTCCTCCTTCTCCTCCTCCTCCTCGCCATCGTCCTCGTCCTCGTCCTCGTCCTCGTCACCCTTCTCCTCCTCCTCCTCCTCCTCCTTCTCCAGCTCCCCCTCCTCTTCCTCCTGCTCCTCCTCCTCCTCCTCCTCCTCCTTGTCCTCCTTGTTGCGTGTCGTTCGCTCCTTGTCCCCCTTGTCCTCCTCCCCCTCCTGCTCGTCCTCGCCCTCGCCCTCGTCCTCGTCCTCGTCCTCGTCCTTTTGCGCTTCTCCTTTTTCTCCTTTCCTTCCCCTGCCCTCTGGCCGCCGCCTGGCCAACGCCAGTCGAAGGGGCAAACATCAAAGCATCGAAGACGCCTACGGCGAATCGCCGCCGCCCCCTGCCTTTTACGATACGCCTCTGTGGCCCAGCGTGTGGGCAGAGTTTGGCCACGCTATTGGACCATGCGTTCCCCCAGCCGTTGTGGAAGCCCTTCTGGGAATACGGGGGGGGAGGGAGAGGAGGATGAAGACAGGGACAAGGAGGATGAGGAGAAGGATCAGGAGACCCCTTGGAAGCTTCTTGGGGCACTCTTGTGGCCTGCTGGGAGCTTCCTGGGGGCTTCTTGGATGCCTCTCGGGGGCCTCTTTGGGCTTCTTGGGGACCTCTAAGGGCTTCTTGGGGGCCTCTTTTGCCGTCTTGCGGCGTTCCTGGCCCGTCTGACCATGTCGGAAGCCGTCTTTGGAGCCTCTTTGGGCCGTCTTGGGGCCATATTGGGGCGATTGAGGGTGGTCTTGAAGGTCATCGTGGGCGTCTTGGAAGCCTCGTGGGCCGTCTTGGGGGCCTTTGGGGGCCGTCTTGGGAGCCTCTGGGGAAGTCGCGTCGGCGCCGCTCTACGTGGAGGAGGCGGTCTGGCTTTGGGCACGAGCTCTTCGACGGACAGGCGGCGCGGTGAGGCTAAAACCATTACCATTTGGGCCCCCAGATTCCAGTGAGCATTTCGAGGTCCTGGGAAGGGGCGGTGTTTGGTGATCTCCTCGTGCATTCCTGGAAGGGTCCAAACAGTGTACCAGCCTGCTTAGCGATAGGTGCCCAGGACGGCGCCACATCGACGCGCAGGAGGCCGTCGCCCCCAGGTTGCTGGCCAAACGGGCGGCCATGCACCCAAACGTGCATGGCAAGCGCATTCCGGTGCTCATAGACTCACGAATTGTACGCAGCGTTGCTGTCCGAGGGTGATCGTTCAGCAGGATTTTGAGCAGGATTTTCTATTGCTCCCCCTTTTTTCTGTTCGCAGGGTGCTCTCTCCTCTTCTTCTAGTGGTTCGCAGTGGCCACAATCCTCGGGGCGGACCAACGAGAGGAGCTGTGATGCGCAAGGCCAGACCGCGTCCTCCTGAGATTGTGGAATCCATCGCCGCCGCCGAAAAGCTTTGGGCTGGGCCGCGCACGTGCGTCGCTCGCTCTTGGGGCGCTGTCCGCCGGTCTTCTACGACGCCTTCGGCGGGTCAAAGGCCCCCCCCGAGGGCAGCCCCGGCGCGCCTCGGGTGGATACGTCGTGAGCCGCGTCGTGCAGCATGGCCTAGTCCCGACGTGGTCCCGACGTAGTCCCCCAGGAGATCGAGCTCATCTCGAGGGTCAGGCTGGGGCCTCCCTGCAGAACCTTCTCGCGGCGCATGAACTTGTGCTCGTGCCCCCCCCCCCCAGACGCGCCAGCGGCCATGGGGGCTGCGGTAACGTCCCATGGGGCAACGAGTGCGCGGAGGCCGGGCTGGATCTTGCGGAGGCCTCGACCGCGTCGGCTCGCTACGGGTTCGGGGGTAGCCCCAGCAATTCGGCGGGCTTTCCGTGAGCTCCAAGAGTTCCTCAGCACGGGCCCGCTCTACGAGTGCGTCATGGATTGGTGCGCGTGGGGCAGGCGCTGGCGAAAAGACCACCTGGAAAGGGCGTCGGGCGTTCCTGCCCCTGCTGGCAAGGCGGTGCGACCGCGGCCACCACTACCTCGTCCTGGAGGGCGGCGTCAAGTGCGACAACGGTGTCTGGCGGCGTTGACGGAAGTGGCAGCTCCAGCGAGTGGTGCTGCGCGGCTGCTGAGCAGCTCGACGTGTGCTCGCCGCTCGCCACTCTGCCGGTGCTACTGGGGATCTTCTGCAGCCGTGGGGAAGGCCTTCCTGGGCATCGAGGCTCGCTCTCGCGCCGGGCAACCTCGCGGGCCGGGCTGGGCCTTCGAGTGGCGGCCCAAGCCTACGAATTACACGCCCGTGCATCAACATGATTGATCGGTGGGGTTGCTGGCTCCAGGATCATGGCCTACCCCGCCCCGGCCGTGTCGTGCGTAGCATCAAGCTGCTCAACGCCACCGTTCTCGCCTACGCTGGCCGCAGACCTGCGGCCAACTGCGGCCTGCGAGGGCCGTGGTGGCCCGCTGGCGCAGACTCGAGCCAGTTGAGATGCGGACGCCCATGCTTGTGGAGGTGCTTCTAGCCCTGTCCGTGGCTGCCCAGACGCAGGGATGGGACAAGACAGCAGCGTGTCTCCTCCTCGCCTTCCACTTGCTGATGCGGCCCAGCGAGGTCGCGAATTCCTTCAGGCAGCACCTCGACTTGCCGGGGGACCTTGGAGGTGACGTCGACGCAGGCGTTCTCGTATTGCTCTCGGAAAAAACATTAGACCGATGGCCAAAGTTCCAGAGCATCCCGATTGATGATCCGTCGCTGCTGAACTTGGTCGGGCGCGTCTTCGACCTCCTTTCCCCGGCGTCAGCGATATGCCCGGGCAGTTACGTGGGCCCACCCAAGGTACATCTACCTTGAAGGCCTTGTCGGCATCAGCGACTCGCCGCGCGCGCTTGGTTGTTGCTGGGAGGCGGGGCCATTCGTGATTTCCGCTCGTCTCAGAATCTGGGCCTGCTACAATACCGTAGGCGCTGGGACAATGCAAAATCAATGCGTGACTATCTCCAGATGGGCGCGGCTGCCCTGTCCTTCGCCCGCGTGCCGGCAGACGGCCGACAACGTGTCCAGCACTTTGCCCAGGTCGCTCCAGATACATGGGGCGTCGGGTGATTGTGTCGCCGACGCGCCAAGGGGGAATACGCGTATTTCACACGTAGTTCTAACGGTAAGATTGGAAGAGGGTGAGAGCTCTCTGTCTCTGAGGCAGTGCGGCAGAGAACATGCTGCTGCGCCCTGCAGCCCAGGCCGCCCTTTGGCCAGCCTTTCCTCGCAAACTTCACGAATAGGGCGCTTTGGAAAACGAGCGTTCGAGATCCTGTGAGCTCAGTGGCTATGATAGTAGAAGAACATGATATGCAGCTTTCTCGCCCTACCCCCCGACCCATGCCGCTGCGCCCTGCAGCCCAGGCCGCCCTTTGGCCAGCCTTTGTTCGCTAACTTCACACGTGGGCTGCTTTGAAAAACGAGCGTTCGATATCCTGTGAGATCAGCGGTTCTGATAGTAGAAGGAAGTGGTCTGCAGCTTTCTCGCCTTGCCCCCCCGACCCTTGCGAACAGGATTTGTACAGGTTTCGAACGCTCCGTTTTTGAGGCAGCGCGGCAGAGAACATGCCGCTGCGCCCTGTAGCCCAGGCCGCCCTTTGGCCAGCCTGTCCTCGCACACATGGGGTGCTTTGGACAGCGAGCGTCGTGTATCATGCCTATGATGAGGATGAGGATGATGACGATGGTGATGATGCCGATGATGATTATGATGAGGGTGATGATGATGATGGTGATGGTGATGATGATGATGGTGGTAATGATGATGACGATGGTTGTGATGGTGGTGGTGGTGGTGGTGATGACGATGACGATGACGATGGCAATGACGATGGTGTCGATACAAACAAGGGATGAAACGTCGGTCCTGGGGATCGACATCGATTCACACATCGAATCGTGAGTCTTCGGTGGTTTTGGTTTGTGTGCAGGCAGCGATGCGGCTCGGCCGGTTCGTGTCGGCCGTTGCGGTTCCCCCCTCAGAGGATGGCACCCGTTCGGGGGACTACACGGATCCCTCCCGCCGCGCGCAGTCGCCTGGGCTCGAGGTGGCGCTGGAGGATTTCGAGGTGCTCGACGTGGAGGATGGTGGACGCCAGCTGGGCAAAGGATCGTTCGGCGTTGTGCGCAGGATCCGCCTCAGAGGGACGGATGACGTGTACGCCCTGAAGATTCACCGGCTCGAGTCGGATCCGCCGGCCTCCTGTGTGCACTGGATGTTTTTTCTGGGGGGGGCCTTCGCGCGCTTTCGGGACGCGTGGGTTCTCGCAGACGCCTCCTTCAATGCTGTGTGGCCATGTGGGGGACCCAAAACTGTGCGGGTCGTCTCGGGGGCCTCTTGGGTGCTTTTGGCGGCCTCTTGGGGGCTTTGGGGCCCTCGTGGACCGTCTGTGCGTGTGTTGAGGTCTTTGAATCAACGCTTCCTGCCGTTGTTGGCAGGGGGAAGGATCCAAAACCTCTCCCTGCCCTCCCATAGCAAGGGGGAGCGGGGGGTTCCGGACCCCGCCCCCCCCCCCCCCCCCCCCCCCGAGAAAATGATTATCGGGTGGGGGTCCGGGTGTGTGTGTGTGTGTGTGTGGTGGGGTGGGTGGGTGGGTGGGTGGGGTGGGTGGGGGTGGGTGGTGGGTGGGTGGTGGGTGGGTGGGTGGGTGGGTTGGTGGGTGTGGTTTTGTGTGTGTGTGTGGCTGTGTGCGTTTTTTTATGTGTGTGTGTGTGTGGTGTGGTGTGTGGGATGGGGGGGGGGGTGGCGCGTGTGTTTGTGTGTGTGTGTAGGTATGTGTGGTGTGTGTGTGTGTGTGTGGTGTGTGTGTGTGTGTGTGCGTGTGTGTGGGTGGTTGGGTGGTTGGGTGGGTGTGTGGGTGTGGGTGTGGGTGTGGTGGGTGGGTGGGGGGGTGGGCGGGGGGGGGGAGGGCGGGTGTGGGGTGGGGGTGGGGGGTGGGGGGTGGGTGGTGGGTGTGTGTGGGGGCTTTTTCCATTAAACTCTATTAAACTCTTTTTCTCAGGGGGGGGGAGGTGGCAGGCCGCGGGGCCGCGGCGTTGAGTCTTAAGGCGGCAGGGCGAGGTTGCGCGCGGCATCTTGGCGCGGGGGTCGGGGCGGGAGTTTGGATCGCGTGCGCGAGCGCCAGGGCGTGCGACGTAGCGCCGAGGCCCACTGCTAGAGCGGCGAAGTCTGTCGCAGGCCTCGCGAGTCAGCGGCGCGGGCGAGACCCTCCATGTGCTTCGGTCTTGCAAACAAGATGCCCCGCCAGCAGCCGCGCGCTCGTGGGTGACGGCGGCGCGGAGGCAGGGCCCGTTCACAGGAAGACAGCGTTGGTTTGGTGGGCGGGGTGGGGGGCTCGCGGTTCAGGCTGTGCGGCCTAGGGCCTAGGGCTGGGATTGAACCAGATGCGCGCGCGCGCGTTGGCCAGGAACCAGAAGTTGGTTGGCACCTTGGCAGGGCATCTTTGGCGTTGTTCTGGTTTGGGGTACTTTGGCCCGCGGAGGGTCTCACGTTTTTACTTGATGTTATTGTGTCCTTGTTGTTTGCGGCTTCGGTGGGGCGCCGCGTCCAAGGCCTGGCTCAACAATGCGCGTTTATGTTTCAGTTTTGCAGCGTTTTGACTCCCTTCCCCGCCCGCCACCGACACCGCCGTGCGCGCCGTCGCGCGCGCGCACCCACTACGACACGCACGCACACGCGAGCACACGCGAGCACACGTACGCACGCACGCACGCACACGCACGCACGCACACGCACGCACACACACACACACACGCACACGCGCGCGCACACACGCACCACTCCCCACCGCGAAGCCATCTCCAAGATATGTATATATATATATACATATATATGGTGATATTTATACATCATACTCATATATTCATATACGCATATATATATATGTATATAACCGCCTTCTATTTATTCGTTGAGACGGGTTTGTTTTCTTGTCATTTGCGGCTTTGGCGGGGCGCCCGCGGCCGCGTCAAAATCTTTGCGTTTGTTTCGGGTGGCTGAACCATTGATTCCAGTTGTTAGGCTCGCCTCCGCCCCTCCCAGGCCACCGCCAGCGCCCTGTGTCTTTTCGCTGCGGGCCTACCTTTGTGTTTGTAATTTGCGGCTTTGGCGGGGCGCCCCGTCGCCGCTCTAAAATCTTTGTGTTTATTTTGGGCGGCCGATCCATTGATTCCTGTTGGCCTCCCGCCCCTCCCGGGCCACCGCCGGCGCCTTCTGTTTATTCGCTGCGGGCATACCTTTGTGTTTGTAATTTGCGGTTTCGGCAGGGCGCCCTTTCGCAGCGTCAGATTCTTAGCGTTATTGTTTTGTCGGCCGATCCATTGATGCCAGTTGTTTGGGCCGCCCCCGCCCCTCCCAGGCCGCCGCCAAATTCAATGCTTTCATTCGCTGCGGGCCAGCGTTTTGCGTCGCCATGTGTGGGCCAGACCGCAGGCGGCTTGCCGCCTCCGTCGGCGCGGTGTTGGGTTCGGGCCGGCTCGGGGCCTCGCAAGAGCATGGCGGGTGCGCTATTTTATTTTCTTCGGGGCTAAGGCCCGCTTCCTTTTTATTTTGCGCGGGCGTGGGCCGGTGCCATTTCACCTACTCGAACCTCATTGTCGGTTATGATTCCAGCCTCTTATGTTTCCAGTTTTCCTGCTAGGCACGCGCAGCGTGTATGTAATCTCGCGCGCGTATGTAGCTGCTAGGCACGCGCAGCGTGTAGCTTCATCCGGCTCGGCATCTAACTTAACATGCGCAGCTCTTAGCTGTAATCTCCAGCATGGAGCTGGTTGTTTGGCACATGGAGCATGCAGATGCATCCAAGTCAGCATGTATATAGCTGACATCGCGCAGCGTGTAGCTGAAATCTTCAGTGCGTTGCATCACACACAAACGCACGCTCACGGGACCATTCGCGCACATACGCACATACACTTTTTTAAGTCAGCGGCGCAGAGGGTTTTCAAGCGCGAGCAGCAGATGGATGTGCGAATTTCGTCGCACAGACACACGCACGCACCAAACTTATTGTTATGCCATCGTCTTTACCCTTCTCCTATTTCTTTTCCTCCATCCGATCTCCAGTGGATATTTGGAGCCCGGAGGGCAGGCCCCACGATAGCCCCGCGACGGCCCGAAAGAGCCTCAAGACAAACTCAGAGGCATCCAAAATTATCTCAACAGCCTGTTGGCGAACCTCCTTCGCCAGCCCTAGATTGCTTGGTGTTATTTTTTCCGTAAGAGCTTCGCCCTCTGCCGCCGGCCCCCTCTCTCGGAGAATGGGCCATGGAAGAGCGAAGTCATGAGGCTTTGGCTTTGCCGTGAAGCAGTGTCGGGACCTAGTTGTTTTTCGACCCTGACCCTGCCGATCTGCGTAAGGGGTGCCGCCGAATTTCAGACATGTTGCAAATCCCTTTTGTTTTTGGACCCGGACCCTACGGATCTGCATGAGGGGTTCCACCGAATTTCAGAAATGTTTCAAATCCCATTTGTTTTTGGACCCTGACCCCGCCGATCTGCGTGAGGGGTGCCACCGGATTTCAGAAATGTGGCAAATCCTTTGTGTTTTTGGGCCCAGACCCCGCCGATCTGCGTGAGGGGTGCCACCGGATTTCAAAAATGCAAAAAATACTTTATGTTTTTGGACCCTGACACCGCCGATCTGCGTGAGGGGTGCCACCGGATTTCAGAAATGTGGCAAATCCTTTGTGTTTTTGGACCCTGACCCCGCCGATCTGCGTGAGGGGTGCCACCGAATTTCAGAAATGTGGCAAATCCCTTGTGTTTTTGGACCCTGACCCCGCCGATTTGCATGAGGGGTGCCACCGAATTCAAAACATGCGGTAAATCCTTTTTGTTTTTGGATCCGGACCCGGCTGATCTGCGTGAGGGGTGATACCGAATTTCAGAAATGCGGCAAACCCCATGTGTTTTTGGACCCTGACCCCGCCGATCTGCGTGAGGGGTGCCACCGGATTTCAGAAATGTGGCAAATCCTTTGTGTTTTTGGACCCGGACCCCGCCGATCTGCGTGAGGGGTGCCACCAGATTTCAGAAATGTGGCAAATCCCATGTGTTTTTGGACCCGCCGATCTCCTGGGGGGTGCTAACCAGGGTCCTTTCCGGCTCCCCCCCCTCGCGCAGACAGTAACAATTTACAGTAGGAAGCAGAAAGCAGTATTGTCACACAATGGAAACTGGAAACTGGAACTGGTGCAGGAAGCAGCAAGCCTAAGCCTCGCAGCCTGATGGCCCCTCAAGGGGGCCGGCGGATTGGTTTCATGTTTGGTTGGGGTATGTTCTTGGTTTTTCAGTTTTTGTTTGGTTGTTTTCCTGATTTCCTGGCCTGCCTTCGCCCCGCTGTCGCCAAGCCTGGGGTCGTCGTGGGGCCGCGGGCAGAAAAGGACATCACGAAAACAAACGTATCACATGAAACACATTTAGCAATCAAGACAACTCCACAGCCAATGAAGAAAACCAGGAACACCAAATCAAAAGATCCCGTCTTTCGGGGAAGTTTGTTCTCGATCGTTCTTTTTGTTTTTTCGGACAGAGAGTGTGAGGAGGACGGGCGGAGACACCCCCAAAATTCCCCCGTATCTCATTGTTTGGTAATTCCCTGGCCATTTCGAGCCGTTATGCAGCCGTTTTGGCGGCACTTGGCCGTATGCTGGAGGTTATCTTGGACCACGCTTGACCATCCTGTGCGATCTTGGAAGCCACCTGGAGCTGTCTGGGGTCATCTTGGAACCATTTGGACGGCTTTGGATGCCCATGCGCCCGCGGGCACACCAGGCGGGCACAACAGGCACCCTCGCAACACCCCCGTTTTACCGTGAGATCAGGGGTTGCGCAAAACATTGAAACTGAGCGACCCGTCGCGATCGGATCCCGAGACCGAATTTTTCCGCGGCATTTTTCGAGCCAGATCGGTATGTAATGATCTTGGTGCTCGACACTGGGCGAAAACGCCAGGTGTGATAAAAACAATGCCTGGACCTCAGGGTAAACCAGTGACAACGGCCTCCCACAACATCTCACATGCCCGTGACCCTGAGGGGTCGGTGAACAATGCAGAAGTTCGAGGTCATCGAAAGCGATCTCATCGACCAGGTCGAGAGGGAGATCCAAGTGCAGCAGAATATCAAACATGATAACATATTACGTCTCTACAAACACTTCGAGGACAAAGAAACCGTTTACCTACTGTTGGAATACTGCGCCAAAGGAGAACTTTACCAGCTCCTGAGGACGCGGATGGGGCGCCGATTTCCAGAGCCTGTGTCGAAACACTATTTCGTGCAGGTAGCCCGGGGACTGCAGCATCTTCACTCCCACAACATCCGAGTGCCTGCGGCAAGTCTGGACCCCGTGCCAGTGCAGTGTCGGAATTTATACCGGACCGTGCTCGTACGCGTCCGCTCGGGTTCTACCATGGTTTTACGGCCCCCTCGGGCCAGGAAGCCTTTGGTAGTATTTTGCGTCATGGCTCCACCGAGTTCTCCCAAAATGATAAGTGTAAGATCGCGTAGAGGCCATTTGGAGTGGCCTTGGGGCCGTCTTGGGGCCATCTTTGTCGGCCCAGTCTCTGGCCGCGTTTGGAATGTCCTGAGGTCCGAGGGCCGTCGTGGGATTGCCCCGAGCCATCTCGTGGTCATCTTGGTGACGCTCGCGCCGCCCATCTTGTTTCTTGCTGCTGTTTCGGGCTAGCACAGGTTACATACATACACCACACATGAGCAACTTCATGCTTTCCGCTTGTTTGACCTCCCGAGTGTCTCCTTAAGCCCCTGGAAATCCTCTTAAGTCCTCTTGGGGGCTTCCTGGGGCCTCTTCGGGACCTGGATTGTTACTGGTGTCTGTTGGGTCTCTATGGGGCTCCTTGAGGCGTGTCGGTAGGTCTTGGATCTCTCTGGACCGGTCTTGATGTTTTCTCGGAGGGTTGCTGGGACCTTTGAGTTGCTTCTGGGTTGGTATCCATGCCAGGGAGGGCAAGGTTTAGGGAACTCTGGCGACGCGGCGACTCACTGAGGGGCGTCGCCCCCGGGACAGCCCAGGGGCATTTTACCAGGAAGTGCTGGATGCACATGTGGCCTCACGTCTTTCAACGCCAGGCCCTTGTGTGGCTAGGTATGCCGATGTGCCAGTGCAGGGCTGGACCTAAACTGTGTTTTTGGCGATTTCGTGGGCCGTTTTCGTTTCGATTTCGTTTTGCGGTAAAGGCGGATTCGAGAGAAAAGCGAAGGAAAACGAAACAATAACGAAAACGAAAAACACCGTTTAGGTTCAGCCCTGTGCCAGTGGCCCCGCACGTTCCGCCTGTGAATCCAGCCGTGGGCGTTTCCCGTGCTTACAGCTTCCTGGTAATACGCACAAGCGTGCGACGGGGCACGGCGGCGGATCATCCACAGGGATTTGAAGCCAGAGAACCTTCTGGTCACCGACGCGGACGTGCTGAAGATTGCCGACTTTGGCTGGTGTGCGCTGGCAAGTGGCAATCGGACCACCTTCTGTGGGACGCTCGATTATCTAGTGGCCTTTGGCCCATCCGGGCACAGTGCCTGGGTTGCGGGCGCGGGGCGCATGGGGAGCATGGTCACGAGCACCGTGGCTTCGCACGCAGGGGTTGGGGTCTGGGGCCCTTCAAGTTCGCCGCATAGAGTTTGTTGAGGACTCCAACGCGTCTGGCGACAGTCCTTGCCGTGCCTACGGCACGGTGGCGGATTTGGCTCCCGAGATGATCCAGGGCAAGGGGCACGACCACACTCTTGACAACTGGAGCCTCGGGGTGCTCCTCTACGAGATGTGTGTTGGGCGGCCGCCCTTCCAGAGCACAAATCACGTTCTCCTGATCTCAAAGATCCTGTCCAAGGAGTTCAACTTCCCCGCTTTTGTGCCCAATCCCGTGATCGAGCTGGTGTCCGGGCTGCTTCAGCACGAACCGCGAGATCGCATGTCTATTGACAGCGTGCTCCAGCACCAGTGGCTGATCACACGCGCAAGCGTAGCCGAGCCACCCGCTGCCCTGGACAAGCACGTCATCCACGAGCACAGCTCCTCGGCGCCCGTGCCCGAGAATGTGCCCGCACCAGGCATCTCTGCTGTGCAGAAGAGCCTCCGGGAGGCCCAGGCCAAAGCCGTGGCGCAGCCGCACTCGCCCAACGTGCATGGCGCGACCCTTCCAGGCCAGGACGCGCAGCACGAGATGCCCTGCGCTGCGCCTCCGCCTTCAGCGCCTGGCACGCGCGAGCCGAACCGGAAGCAGCCTCCATCGTCCGTGGTGCCCACGCGGGCGCTCTTGGAGGGCACGCCGCGCCTGGAGCAGAGCTCGATGCAGCGCCAGAGATCGCCCTCGGCCTCTGCCACGCCAAGCCCGCCTGCGCCACCGCGCGGCCCCGTACCGCCGCGCCGCACTGGCGCGGCCTCGATGACGCTGCCGATGCCGTCGAGGGCAGGGCCAGAGCAGGCGGCGCAGCAGGAGGCGCAGCGGGTCCTGACCGCGACGACGCGCGTCCCGTCGCCCGCGCGCACGCCGCTGCAATCGACACCCTTCCGGCGCATTGCCGCCCCGCAGCCCGCCGTGACGCCGCTGGGTGCCGGGCAGCCTGGCCACGCCGCGCAGGGAGCAATGCCCGGCGCCGCGGCTGGCGGTGGCATGTGGCAGGCAGCCTCGGGCCCGGGCAGCGCCAGTGGCTTCCAGCGCCTGGCCGTGCCCACGGGCGTGGCGACGGAGCCGGCCTTCGCCGCCGCGGTGCAGGCACGCCGGGGCAGCCCCGCGCGGCCGGCGGGCGCCACCGCGCAGCTGCTTGCCACGCCGGCCGCGAGGACCCGATGCTGCAGCGGCTCGCCGGCGACGCTCTCGGCAGGCCTGGTGCCCAGCGCCGCAGCAGTGCCGCGCCAGGCGCCAGCGGCGCAGCAAGGAAGGCTCCCCACAGAGGCCCCGCCGCAGCTGCCCGGGCGCGGCTGCTGGCCCGCCCTGGGGCACCCTGGCGCGCAGGCGCAGCAGCTGGCGTGTGCAGCCCGTGGAGTCGAGGCAGTAGCTCCCATGCTGGCCGGCTGCGCCGCATTTCAAGGTCCCGTTGTCCAAACGATGATGTCCAGCACTCTGGCGCACGTTGCGGCGGCATGCGGCGTGAACTACTGTGGCGGCCACGCTGTGCGAGCAGGTGGTGTCATCTCGGTTGGCAGTCCTCTGCATCTGCTGCCGCATGCAGCGTCTTGCGCTGGCTGTTGATTAATTAAAGTAAGTCGCCGCTGATGGAGGTAATCTCAGGAGGAGCAGGCAGGAGGAAGACGAGGAGTAGCAGGCAGCCAGAAGTGGTATGAGCAGGAGTGGGGAGGAGGAGGAGAAGCAGGAGGAGGTCAAGGAGAAAAACAAGGACATAAGACGATGACGATAACGATGACGATGACGATGACGATGACGATGACGATGATGCTGATGATGATGCTGATGATGCTGATGATGATGATGATGATGGCGATTCTGATGATGATAAATGATGATTGAGGTGGTGGTAGTGGTGATGATGATGATGATGGTGAGAAGGATGAGGATTATGCTAATGATGATGCTGACTACGACTATGCTGATGATGCTGATGATGATGATGATACTGACGATGGCGATGACGATGACGACTGCGATGATGATGGTCATGATGATGATGACAACGACGATGATGCTGATGATGCTGATGATGGTGATGGTGATGGTGATGGTGATGGTAATAATGATGACGATGATGATTCCGATGATGATGCTGATGATGATTCGGATGATGCAGATGGTGATAATGATGATGTTTAGGATCATGATGTTGATGATAGTGATCATGCTGATGCTGATGATTATGATGATGGTGACGGGTGATGGTGATGATGATGACGATGATGCTGCTGATGATGCTGATGATGATTCTTATGATGGTGATGATGAAGGTGATGGTGGTAATGATGATGACGATGATGATGCTGCTGATGATGATGGTGGTGATGGTGGTGCTGATGATGATGATGGCTGCTGCTGATGATGATGATGATGGTGATGATGCTGATGATGATGATGATGATGATGATGATGATAAGGATGATGAGGATGATGAGGATGATGATGATGATGATGATGCTGATGATGATGGTCATGATGATGATAATGATGATGATGATGATGATGATGATGATGATGATGATGATGATGATGATGATGATGATGATGATGATGATGATGATGATCATGATGATCATGATGATCATGAGGATGAGGACGATGAGGATGCGGATGAGGATGCCGATGTGAGCACAGCGCTTATGATAGTATATTGAAATGATCTGCAGCTTTGTCGGACCGAGCCCGCCCCGCGGTGCGCGCTGGGCGTGCCCGCGGTGGATGCGTGGAGGGCCCATTGCTAGAGCGCGGGCGATCCACGCGCCTGCCCCTGGATCCGAAGCCAACTCAGGGGCCACTCCCGGCGGGGAGGAGGCCGCACCAGAGGCGGCGGAGGACTCAGAGGGGCCCCCTGGGTCGTCATCCCAGACAGCGGCGCAATGTCGAGGCGGTCGAGAGGCGCCCGCTCGAACTTGCGCCCGCCCATGTCTGCCGAGGTGCTCCCGGGGTTGGCCGTCGCTGCTCAGGCGCAGGGATGGGGCGGGACGTCAGCGCGCGTGCTCCTCGCCTTCCACTCGCTGCTGCGGCCCAACGAGGTCGCGAATGCCTTCGATCAGCGCCTCATCTTGCCTGGGGGACTTGGAAGCGACGTCAATGCGGGCGTGCCTATGCTGCTCTGCGCCAAGACATCCGACCGAGGGCCAGAGTTCCGGAGCGTCCTGATCGACGATCTTGCGTTGCTGAACATAATGGGGGCCCCCGCTCGCTGGCGGCAGCGTTGCGCCCAGGGCGGCTGCGCGGGTTGACCCAGAGGCTCACCTACCTCGAGGGCCTCGTCGGCATCGGCGACGCGCCCCGCGCCATTGGGTCGTTGCGAGGGGGTGGGGCCATCCACCACCTCCGCTCGTTTCAGAACCTGGAACTGCTACAGTGCTGTGGGCGCTGGGAGAATGCCGAATCCATGCGTCGCTATCCCTGCGTGGGCTCGTCCGCGCTGTCATTCTCCCGCGTGTCGTCCGACAGCCGACAGCGCGTCCAACAGCTTGCTCAACTCGCTTCAGCTGTATAGGATGTTGGGTGATTGTGTCATCGGCAAATTCCGAGGGCCATGCGCATTCCAGACACGTGGAATCACGACAATGTTTGAACAGGTCGAGAGCCCTCTGTATTTGGGGCCCTGTGAGGCCGCCCAGCAGAACCAGCGCCGCTGCGCCCCGTCGGGCCTCCAGGCCCTTTGGCCAGCCTTTCCGCGCACACTTCGCACACGGGGTGCTTTAGAAAACGAGCGTCGGATTTCATGTGACGGCTATGAAAGTAGGAGGAAGAGATCTGCAGTTTTCAGAGGTCGAGAGCTCTCTGTCTGTGGCGCTTTGGAGGTTCGCGGCCGGAACAGCGCCGCTGCGCCCCGACGCTCCTGGCCGCCCCTTGGTGGCCACTCTTTCCTCGCAAACTTCACGCGCGAGGTGCTTTTGAAAACGAGCGTCCGATATCTTGATGATAGTAATGATGATGACGACGATGGTGATGATGATGGCGGTTGTGGCTGTGGTGGTGCTGATGGTAGTGGTGGTTGTGGTGGCTTTGATGATTATGGTATTTTTTATGACACGATGGTGGCCAATGCGATGATGATGATGGTGATGGCGATAATGTGGAATGATGGCGGCGATGGTGGCGTTGGTGTTGATGATGGTGGCGATGATGGCAGTACTCATGATGATGACCGTGCTGGTGATGAGGGTGGTCGTCGTGATGTTGGCGGTGGTGATGATGAATATGCTAACTTTGGTGATCATGATGATGATCATGCTACTCGTGCTGCTGATGGTGAACATGCTGATGACTTTGATGACCATATTGACCTTGATGGCTATGATGATCATGGTGGTGATGACACCGATGATGATGACGATGCTGCTGATGGCGGCAGCGATGATGTTGATACTGGTGTTTATGGTGACGCAGTGAAGTAGCAGGGGGCTGGCGGTTATGGCATCGAGGTGGAAACTCAATATGAGGGATCATGGGTTGGGACGAACGGCGATAATGGTGATGATGATGGTGATGATGCCGGTGGTGGTGATGATGATGCTGTTGCGGAGGAGGACGAAAAGAATAAGGAAGAGGAGGAGGACCAGGAGGAGCGGGAATTGACACGAATAGGAGGATCACGGAGGGGGTTCACAACCACGTATGTGCAGCGGATGCATCCCCGACCGTTCCGCGAACGGACTGACTTTTTTGCGGGTTGTGTAGATCCGGTATCACTTGCGCACGTAATCATTGATGGAGTCCGATACGTAGCTGGCGATGGGGATGGGGAGGGAGAGCAGGAGGGAGGATTGATTCATTGGAAGTGTGCGGGGTGCTGCTGGTGATGATGGTCTTGATGGTCATGATGATGCTGACGGTGATGCTGGTGTTGATGATGTTGTTGATGCCAATTCGGATGCGGATGGGGAGGTGGAGCACTCAAAGATAGGAGGATGCGAATGCGGATGAGGATGGCGGATGCTGCTGCTAGGTGATGATGGCAAGAGGGAGGAGGAGGACGAAGAGGAGGAGGACGTGCAGGAGGAGGAGGAGGAGGAGGTGAGGTAGGGGGAGGAGTAAGACGTGGCATTAGGGAAAGGGGGAGGGGAGAACGATGAGGAACGAGGGTGGAGGGAGGAGGGATGTAGGAGGATGAGGGTGAGGAGGAGGAGGAGGAAGAGGAGGAGGAGGAGGAGGAAGAGGAGGAGGAGGAGGAGGGTGAAGAGGAGGAGGAGGCGGAGGACGAGGAGGAGGAGGAGGATGAGAAGGAGGAGGAGGAGAGAGATGGAGGAGGAGGAGGAGGAGGAGTAGGAGGAGGAGGAAGACGGGGAGGAGGAGGGAAACGGGGAGGAGGAGGAAGTGAATGATGACAAGCGCCACAGAGAAGGCGGAGGCGGAGGAGGAGAATGATGATTAGGACACGTGGGATGACCAACGGTGTGTGCGGGATCCTGGGGAGGATGCGTTATGAAGGAGGGGGTGATTGACGAATGACAGTGGAAAGGGAGGAGGAGGAAAGGCAGGATATGGGGGGGGAGGACGAGGAGGAGAAGCAGGAGGGGGAAGAGGTGGGAACGAAGGCAGGGATGGAGGAGGAGGAGGAGGGCGGGATGGCGAAGGAAAAGGAAGGACGGATGGATGATGGGATGTTGTTGGTGATGGTGATGATGTGGACATGATGACGGTGATGACGACGACGATGATGATGCTGCTGCTGATGATGATGGATGATGATGCCGATGATGACGTTGATCATGATGATGATACTGATGACAATCTAACGGTGCTAAGGGTGATGCGGATGATGCTGGTGACGAGGATGATGATGATGGTGGTGGTGCTGATCTACTGCGATGACTATGCTGAGGATGATGCTGCTTATGGTGATGAGGATGACGACGATGGTGACGATGATGACTATGAGGATGCTGACGGTGATGATGGTGCTGATGACGATGAAGAAGAAGCTGATTACGATTATGATGATGCTGATGATTATCATGATGATGATGACGACGTTGATGATGATGATGATGATGATGATGGTGATGGTGATGGTGATGATGATGATGCTGAGGATGGAATGATTGTGATGGTGATGGTGATGGTGACGGTGATGGTGATGGTGATGGTGGTGATGATGATGGTGGTGATGAGGATGTTGAGGATAGTGGTGCTATGATGATGACGATGACGATGCTGATGCTGCTGATGATTGTGATTACGTTGCTGGTGAGGATGATGTTGGTGCTGATGTTGTGGCGGCCACGTGGCGCGAGCAGGCTGTGATATCTCGGTTGGCAGTCATTTGCATCTGCAGCCGGACGCAGCTTTTTGCGCTGGCATTTGATTAATTCGAGCCAGTTTCGGATTTGCAGGCGCACGGAAGTAGTACAAACAGGAGTGCGGAGGAGGAGAAGGAGGAGGAGGAGGATGTCGAGGAGAGGATACAGGAAATGAGATGGTGTTGACGATGCTGATGATGATGATTATGACGTAGATGATGATGATAATGATGATGACGATGATGATGATGACGATGATGATGATGATGATGATGATGATGACGATGATGATGATGATGACGATGATGA